AACCACCCTTTCACAAGCTACAAAAGTTAATTAATACACATTATTTATTTAATCGAGCAATATTAGTCTCATCAAACACTTTTTCTATTTTTTTTTTTATTATATATACAAGCTATACAGTGTAAAGTGTCCTAGCATTTTCTTCAAGCATGGGGAATTAATTGCTTGGAAGACAAAATTGACCTTAGAAGGAGCATAGAATATACGTGTAACTCATATAGACAGCCCATTATATTATATGATTTTATTTGTTTGGATTCATTCATATATAGATGCCGTTGTATCGCCGAAATAGAGTCATATAGTAACACTTCGCATTTTTCAAATTTGTCGTTAACATTAAACTAGCTTCATTTTGTGCATGTGGCCATTGATATAACGTTTAGACGAGTGGAACTTTGAGGTGACTTGCCTGCTGGTCCAAACCCTAATATGTAGCCAGATTATTGTGTAGATCATAATAAAAAAAATACATTTTTAATATATTAAAATGATATTATTTGTATATTGAATGTATATTATATAAAATAATGTATCATTTCTGAATATAATGTATATTTTTAATATATTAAAATTACATTATTTATATACTAAATGTATATTATTTGATAGTATAATCACTCAGTTGTTTGGACCGTAATATGTATGCCAAGAAACAATATAATGAAATTATGGGTTGAAGTAGTTAAAAAATTGTCGTATCAATGCAAGTGCAATGCACCCGGTTGAGTGTATTTAATGTTAGCTTCACCTTGGTGTCATCTTTGGTTAAAACGTATCGGACATGATCGTTTTGATGTTAAAGCGAAGAGGGTAAAGAGATGGATTAGACCAATGAATATGTCAACCTTTGATGACCAAGCGAAAAGGTATGCAGCCGCTACTTAGATGTGTGCTCTAAGTGAAGATCGCTTTCTAGTCTGCATAGACAATAGATGATCGCAAGGAAACCATGTAAACTAACCGAGAAGGTGCACTATGGGTGAATATGTCAACCTTTGATTTATTCGAAGGCCCTAGGCCCCGCTGCTACATGAAGTGTGCTCTTGGTGAAGTCTAGATTGTGATCTTAGCCTACAAAAAAATAAACCACCTAAGTTGCACATAGTTGGTCAATTCAAATTGAATAGATGTGCTTATTAGGATTCCGCACACTAGAATTATATTTCTTATTGAGAATATTATCATTTATCATATTGAACCTCTTTGTATCGTTATAAATACATATATCTTCTGTACTTCAAGCATTATGAATTGATCAATAATAAAATTATTCTCAGGATATCAGTAGACCAAACGATCCATGGCTACAAACCCTACCAAGAAAAAAAAAAAAACAACCACCGCCGCCACTAACCACCAGTCGTCGACCGGTGACACCACATCCTCTTCTTACACAATCTTAGATATTGTCTATTCAACCACAACCCCCAATAAATACCCTACAAATAGCCCATCACTTTATCTCCATTAAACATACTTTCTCAAACTATTTGTTCTGGAAGACTCAACTTGTTCCCTTTCTCCACGGTCAAAGTCTCAGTGTTCCGTTGTAGCCGCGCTCCGGATGAGTGTTTCATTGAGTCTTCTTCTCGGACACGATATCTTAGTCTCCATAGTCGATTGTAATCTTTGCGCCATGGGGATCGCACTACGAGTGAGTATCTTACCAAAGCCAATTTTTAATTAGACTTCTTACATAAGTCGGCCGACCAATTAGTTTGGATGAACATATTCTCTATCTATTCAAAGGCCTCCACCTTGAGTACCGCACAATTGATTAATTGAACATGTGACAATTGATCAACTCAATGACTACCACTTTGTTCGTGACAAAGTAACACAAAATGAACTACAAGTAAACTACATATCTAGAATAATTGATCAACTGGCCTAGCAGACATCTTCACAAAGCCAACCACATCACGGTTAAATGATTTAATGGGACAAACTCAATGTTTTCTCTAGATAACCTTAAGCTTAAGGAGACGTATTAGGACGTACTCCGTATTTTAGGCACACTAGAGTTCCTTTTTCCTCTCCCTATATTATTGAGAATGTTATCATTTATCATTCACATATCCTGACTAAGACTCTTTGTATCATTATAAATATATATCTTTTGTACTTCAAACATTATATATTAATAAATAATAAGATTATTCTAGAGGAATATGTCAACCTTTGATTTCCTAGAGGACCTCCCGCCACTACCAAAATGTGTGCTATGGATAAAGTCTGCCTTGTGGCCCTAGTCGGTAGAAGATCACAAAGAGGTAAACTAGCTTAGGTTCCATAACTGACCAGTTCAAACTAAGAAGGTGTGTCATGGGTGAATATATATGCATGTCAACCTTTAATTTACGGGAAGGCTCCCAATTAAGGGTGGTTCTCATTAAGGATGGTTCACGTGCGAAGGGACTCATGGGTGAAAAAATGGGAGAGATCTAAGTAGTTGATCTAATCTAGATCAGAATGAATGTAAATTTTATTTTTTTTAAATGCTTATTGGATAAAGTCATACATACACTTAAGTTTCAAAGTGATGCACCTTAAATTTCAAAGAACTAAGTTCTAAGTTATGCATTGAATTATCATAATGTCACCGTATTTTTTTAATTTTTCCGTCATTCGATTGCTTTTGACTAAATCAATGATTGAGATTTTATCTTCTTTTTTTTTTTTTTTAGTTGAGAGCCCTTGGCATTTGATTTCTCATATATATATATATATATATATATATATATATATATATATTTATAAAAAAATTGTTTAATAAATAAGATATATAATGAGGAATACATATGCATTGGTAAAAGGGCAAATCAACGACGAAAAACAAAGAAAAAGACTCATTCACAATATGAACTCCTCTATCTACGACTTAATAATTTGAATACAACTTATTTCGTCCCCAAATTGTTTAATTCTCCTTACTAAAATTTTGTTTTCATTTTTTCTCCATACTACATTGATATTTACATTTCACCCCTTCCCTAGTGATTTTGTCATCAATCTGCAGAACAGAGGAATTGGCCCAAAAAAATTAGATGTGGGTTAACGTTGTCCGGAACCGCTACTCAAATGTAGTCCTTTTTGTATTTCTTGTCGATAAACAACTAAAATGAACTAAATTAGTTTAGGTTTTTCATAGCTGACCGACTCGAACCAATGAAACTAATAGACAATTTTTATGAGGATTTGAAATTGAACATTGTAATTATTAAGTCAACTGTCTCACCAACTTAAATGGAGTATGTTAACCTCGAAATTCAAATCTTATGTGTGAGATAGTAAGAGTTGGTAAAACTTTTACATCGAGTCTGCCTGAAATTTAATTTAAATATAATTATGTTATTAAAAATATATTTATACTAAAATTTTCTCACCAAATTAACAATAAAAAGAAAGGGGGAAATTAAAGAAACACTTCCCCTCTTTCTCGTGCACATCAAGCCTCACATGATTTTCTATCTTTTTACACATTTTTTTCAGTCAACCTTTCTTTTTCCAATTTATTAATTATTGTTTTTACTATATATTTTTTCTTTTGTACTTGTTTTCGATTCCTATCTAGGATTGGTGGGAATAAGTTGTTAAAACCTGTGTGTTATTCAAGGGCCCCACTCTTAAATTCTGTTCTATTTTTTTTTATATTTATTATTTTTGGGTACACACATTATATTATTATAAAATTAATTAATAAATAATACTAAATTTTCTGTTGTGGCTGACACACATTTTAGTATACGGAGTATCCGGTTGTCTAGACCATGTTATAGGCTCCAGACACAACGCCGCATAATGTGTTATGATTTGTCTCAACTTCACCCTCAAAAGGCAACATTTTAACAAAATCGTTTAAATAAATCACGATAATCCAACGATTTCTTAAATAAAAAGACTTGTAGACGTTAACATTAATAATCTGCAGGATCAGTATTGGTGACAACAAGAAACTTACCATATAAGGTGAAACTGTTATACTGCGATTATCTTGAGCTTGAAGGCTCGATCCTGAGTTTTCACGCTCAATTTATCATCTAAATATTAATCGAACTGCTTGTTTGCGCTGACTTGTCTCGACTTGTATGTATGTGTATGTACTGCAATTATGTACACGTACAATTTTTTAAAAATTAAAAATAAAAGTTTCATTTCATTTTTTTTTACTTCTAATTTTGCTATATTTATGTAGTATGATGAAAAGAGAGAAAGATTCTTCTCTTAGCTTATAATAAATTTAATTTCCCTAGAGTGATCTAAACCAATTTGGTCTACTTGGGATGAGAGAATCTTGGAAGGTATATATTCATATCCTTAGGCATTCCTAGTTAGAAAGTAGCCAATCGCGTAGAAAAAGTGTGCAAAACCCTGGGTAAAAACAGGGCTATCCGGCAAAAAAAAATAATAATAATAATAATGCTTTTAGATGAGTCAAATAAACTCCATCATTTATCGATATTGGGGATTGTTGGGCGTCAATTGAATTGGTCGAGTTCAGCCTTTACTCAATTTAATACGTGTTGATGTGCCTTATTATGAAATGGTGTGGTTAAATGTTTAATGTTCACCTATTTATCACTAATTGGTTTTAAGTAGGATATGCTAATCAGATAGTCAAATAACTCTGTAATTAAACGTAATTGACTTACAATCATCACATGATTGATGACCTATTAGAAAGTAAGCATAGTGCAGTGTTGAGATCCACCATTATGGTTCGAATACTTTGAGAACATAAAAATCATGTAAATCAACTCTAACGAACTTAGTCGAAGCGACATAGTTATAATTAGGTCTGGTACATCTATATTTTTTTAATTTTGACATTTTAGCGAATGGCCTCATGTGGTTGTTCGCGTTAGACGCTATCTAAATACATAAAGTCTAATAAACTTCAACGTAAGTTATAGTAGTGTTGTTGTCTTTCGTTTTTTTTTTTCTTTCATTAAATATTTTTTAATCTACGATACCAACAAAAACAGTAATGTACTAAGTTCAACGTAAGCATTTTTGTTTTATTTTGCCTTAAAAAAATATAATATTCTACCCTTATCTAAACGAATGACAAAAAAACATCATCAAAACGGTAGGCTAAGAATTATAAATCGTAGAGCAAACAAAATCATATATGACGTTTGGATCAATTCATTTCTAGATGGCTCTAGTCAATGTGAAATAACATTTTAAGAATAAAGGGGATGAATGAAAGGAATCGAACATCTAATTCTCTGTTCGTGGCTCACATGTAAAACCCTAGTAATCCTTGTCTTACAATACGTACCAAGTGGGAAAAGGGGAAAATTTTGTAAAACTTATAAATAAAGAAATATATATATATATATATATATATATATATATATATATATATATATATATATATATATATACTTGCGTTCAAATGAGGACAAGTATATTATAGAGGACTGTGAGGACAGATGTAGTGTGTGTCATTAGTTTCTATGTCGTGTGCATGGCCGAATGTAGTTGTGCGCCACAGTTTGTATGTCGCATGCATGCATTTGTTAATTAATAGACTCTGGGTTCGAAACCTGATGTTTACATGTATTCTTGTGTGCCATTATGTATTAAATTGTGTGCATGATATTAATTTGTTGTGTGCCCATTATTTGTCTTCACAGTCCTCTATATATTGTTGTCCTCATTTAACTCAACCCTATATATATATAATCGCGTTCAGGTGCGAACTGGCCCCCAGGAGAGAAGTGAGAACCATTAAGCGCCGTCCACGTATCCAGATATAAGGGATGAGAAACATTGATTTTTTTAAAAGAAAAAAAAAATGCAGTGACATTTTCGTAAATAATTGAACATCGACATGCAAGTAAAATGTATTACAAGTGCAAGTAGCAGTTTCATATAGTCCACCTCAGTGCATGTAAAATGTATTACAGGTGCAAGTAAAATTTACATTGAGCATAAAAACTTAGTGCACCTAATGTTATAACTAAGTGCACAGATAGTTATAAGTAGTTGCACCTTGGTGCATGAATGTTAACAAAGTAAAATTACATGTACGTACTTGTAAGTGAAAGTAGGTGCACTTGTAAGAGATTTTACCTATACTTTTTACTTGCAAAAGTGCACCAGCTACTTACACTTATAAAATCTGATATGATCGGTTTGATTTTTACAAATGCAAGGTTTGATATTGGTTCTTAATTTCCTCATGGGGTGTGTTCTCATAAGAATTAAGCTTCTCATGAGAATGTGTGGATCAATTTTATCCGTATATCTATAATGATTAATGTCATAAAATTAACAAGCATTTCTATAATTATGATTGTGCATTCAAAAATATTTGATAGTGCATTCGCGGATAACTGATAGTTTATTTTGAAACTCTTTTCCAAATGTACTGTCAAGAATTTTCTGATGCACAATCATAATTACAAAAATATCAATAATGTGTTTCTTTGCTTAATTTTAGCCTTTGATAAATTTAAATGGATGTGTGTGATTAGTAATCACGTTCTCACGAAAAGCCTGATTCTATCTAATAATTTTTTCCTGAGAACTTGTTGTCATATGATCCAATAGTTTATATATGTATGTATGTATAGTACTATTAAAATCTAGGTATGTAGAAAATCATATATTCTTCCAAAAATTAAAGAATTAAAGAATAAAAAAAATGGCATCATTCTTGGCAATGGCAATTAAGAATGTTGGAACCTCTTGGAGCAGCCTTAGTTGTTCAACTTGTTATTCTTAGTGCATATATCCTCTGTTGGCCGGCCGGCCTTTAGTTCTCAAGAAATGAATTTAGAAAGTGTATAAAGATTTTTTTTTTTTTTCAAAAAAAAATAAAGAATCTTTTGGAAATTTGGATAGGGTAATAAACAAATTATATACGACTTTGTACCGTATTATGAAACAATTTGAGGCCGAAATGACATTTACGCTCTCCATAAGGCCATAAGGGGTGTTGTTTTGTAACACTAACATCAATTATCAGGTAATCAAAATTTCGCAAAAATGACTATGTTTAGTAACATAGCTTATCAGTCAATTTAACTTGTTTGATCACTATTACTTGTTTAAATCAAACAACTAATATAAGTGTTTAGTTAATCAGTTTTTGGTAACAGCTTATCGTTTAAAGAAGGGGAGACTTTTGTTTAGAGAAGCATCTTATCTCATTAAAATATTCATTAGGATAATTAAGTAACATAATGAAACCGCCGCCTCTTTATTCCTTGACGCACAAGTAAACTTTCGCCTACGTTCTGTTTGTTGACTTTGGGATGAATCACTTATCACTGAATTATATATTTAAGCAAACTTAAATACTTAATTCAACTCTTACCTAAGATCATTGACTTATGCATGTGGCTGTCTGCTTTTTAAAAATATGTTTTTTCTTTTTAATTTTTAATTTTTAATTTTTGTTGTCTAATATTTCACGTTGTTGTGTTGTCAATAATATAATTTTTCGCTTATCGCACACATTAACCCATAATTTAAAATTAAAAAAAGGTAACATTTTTGTAATTATCGTAAATTTTATCATGCAATTTTAATTTTAACAATTATATTTTTCACTTTTTAACAATTAAATGTGCATTTCTTGATCATTTAAAAAAATGAATGAAAAATTTAAATTCTAAACCTAAATCGTAAATTATAAACCCTACGCAGTAAAAACTAAACCCCTGAATCAAAAATCTAAGTCATAAATTTTAAAATCCAAACCGTAAGTACATGCTCTGCACTTTCGCATTTTGCAAAGTGTAATTTTTAATACTAAACTTAGTTTGCACTTTGTAATACTTAACCGTGCACTTTGTAATAATTAAATGTGCATTTCTTGAGATTCCTGAGAAGTCTAAGTATAGTGTTAAAAGTCGCAAAGTAAAATTTGTAATAATATGACACCGCATTTAAAAAAAAAAAAAATTGATATGATCTGTTCAATTTTTTCACATGTAAATATGAGATTGGTTCTTAATTTTCTCGTAAGGACTTGTTCTCATTTGATCCAATACAATACAATATATATATATATATATATATATATATATATATATATATATATATATATATATATATATATATATATATATATATATATAGATGAATAGAAAGAATATCTATTAGGAGCTCCTTATACAAAGAGTAAAAAAAGAAAATAGTGTTATTGGGTGGTGGAAGCTAAAGGTCTAAGTTTAACATTTTGTGTGTCGTTGGAATTTGAAAAGTGATGTTAATTGCTGCACAAATATAAGAAATATAGTTACATTTTGACTATTAGTTATAATTTTTTTAACGTAATAATAAATGTTTTAAATTGCGTTGAAAATATGTTACGTTATACAGTTGAAGTTAATAGGTCCACGTAAGTGCAGTCCAGTGTATTGTGGAAGTGCTTATAATCCTGATATAATCTAATGTATATATCAAATATTAAAATTAAAGGTTAACTTGTGTTTGTCCTGGACTATGGGATACTTAGAAAAGATTATTTATTTATTGTTAAGCTTAGCAGCCATAAAATATTGGAGTTATCTTTCCTGGATAAACACTACATAAATTTCCACATATACAACTCTTTATTGCCAACGGAATTATATATATAATGGATTACTATAAAAATAAGGGAAAATTGTAAAATGTCCCTTTATAATATGCCAATTATTAATGTCATCTCTAAATTATGAGTGGTGTAAATTTTGCCCCTCAATTATCAAAACGGTGCACATATAGCTCCTCCCGTAACGGACATGTGGTTTCCCATTAGTGTACGACACCGTTAAGTTGGAGTAAATATGTAATTTAATTGTTTTTTCCCTCCCTCGATTTAAAGTACCAGCGATGGACAGTGGTGGGGAACCACAGGTCCGTTACAGGAGGGGCTATATGTGCACCATTTTGATAATTGAGGGGCAACATTTACATCACTCATAATTCAGGGGTGACATTGATAATTGACATATTATAGAGGGGCATTTTTTACAATTTTCCTTAAAAATAATTATCGGATCAAGCTCTTAATTATTATTACATCAGTAGCAGTTTGCGCCACATTTGAATTGCAAGATGATAAATTTGACCGTTCAAACCATCGCCTAGCACCTGTCAACTTCATTTGCATATCATAAACGCTTAGCATTGCACCAAAAGTTATAACTAATAGTAAAGACGATGTAACATTATTTACTTATACTTACATAACGGTCAGTACCAATTTGTTTCGATAATAAAATGTTGGGTTCAGTAACTTCAATTGCACATCATAAGCGCTTAGCACTACATTAAAAATTATAATTAGTAATAGAGACGTAACTTTATTTACTTATACTTACATAACAGTCAGTGTCATGTTTTGAAAACAGGATGTTGGGCTCAGCGTCTAAGCGTGCCTAACAATAATTTAAGTTTAATTATTGTATAGGTTTAGGCAATATATGCGTAGTATTCAAGCCAGTTCATGCGCGTTAAAATGACCTTTACGATAACTCATCGTATAATTTCAAAGATATTATCATAATGATGATGTTGATGCCGACATGATTACTTAATTTATTCTAGTGAGAGGCATTAACTCCTAACAACCAAATATTCATTTTCTACTCATATAAGCAATTGCACCGCAACATGGCCGGATTTTGAGCGTGCAAGATGGGCAATAGCACAATGTCTCAATTTTTAAAAGGCCTAATATTTACACCATTCATACTTATTTGAAATAAAAATCATATATTTTACAATAAGAACAGTAATTTTACATTCATCTAGTGTTACACCGTTCATACTTATTTGAAATAAAAATCATATATTTTACAGCATTTGTTTTAAGGATTGTGCTTATACTTTTGATAGTGCCTCATTTATTTATAGGAACGGGGCCATAAAAATAATATTATAGGTTAAGCCTTAAACATATAAGTCTTTTAAAAGGTTTAAGTTTGTCCTTTTTATTAAATATGTTAGGCCAAGATCGACCCAAACTAGACCAAGTCGTAAACCCGTTGATAGGGGCCTAGCTACCTAGACTATTTCTAGCCCTAGCTTCAAGTTTAATGTGGTAGTATATATTAACTTTCTCAGTTTAAGCCAGTCAGGTATAACCAACCTAAGTTGGTTATCTCATTGTAATCATTTATCAATTAGAATCAGAAAACATAATTCACCTAAAATGCACGATAACATCTGTGAAGTTTCTCATAAATCAAAGAATTTGTCTAAGTTATAACGTATAAGACACATGTGATGTGTTAGATATTTATCTTGTTTAATTATAATTTGTTGCATCTTTCACTAGTCAACAAGTTTGAATTACTTGACCATCCCATAGGTCTTAATCATAGATATGATTGTTACATATTAAAAGAATAATTAAGCAATTGATACATATCAATTAATTATGATACTCCATTGAATAACAAAAATGCCCCACATAATAAAAAGTTCAACCAAAATAAAAAATAAAAAATCTAAAGTGCATGTATTACACATATTATGCATCAATTCTTGTTGACTAGTCTTCATGATGGTTAAATGAAAGCTAAGTAAATTCAATGGCATGAACACAAAACATGTTGGCATGTTACTCTCGTGAGCATAAGTAGAACAATGTAATAAGATTCAAACACCAATAGGAGTTTGAATCTTCATTAAAGAAAAAGGAAAATGATATATGTACTCTAAGGGAGTAAAATTTCCGCCACATGTCTTGATTTTATTGGAGAAAGATGAAAAGAAATTAGTAATAAAAACGGTGACCCATATTGTTTTGAATAAATCAATGAGTGACATGTAAGCAGGGAGTAAAAAATGAAGTAGAATGTGAGAGTATATATAGTATTACTCATAAAGAATGGTTATCACAAAATTCATTATCTTAGAGAAAAACGAGAGATGTTAGATTATAGTTACATAATAAGTCTTATTGAGGATTGTATTGGTTTCCTTGGACTTAGGAGGGTGTTAGTCTTTTTTTTTTCTTTTTTTTTTTTTTTTCTCTCCTTTGAGCCACAAACCATAACTACATTAGGAATGCCTTGTGCGTTGGACTTTAGTATTTTGCTATGTGTACATAATTTAAATATTATTATTATTACGGAGTATTATTTAGTTTATTGTGTGATGAGAGAAACTTGCAACCATTACATACCCGAAGGTAAACATTGGGTTTCTATATCTACCTCGTGACCCTAGCCGACAAAGGATCCTAAAGAGGTAAATCGGACCTTACCCGACAAAAGACCACAAAGAGGTAAACCAACCTAGGTTCCTCATAGTTGACATGCTCAAACCAATGACGCCAATATAGCACTCCTGCAGGAGTCGAACTTGTAACTTTGTGCTTACTAAGTCAATAGTCTCACCAACTTGGCTAATATTGCCCCCAAAACAAAGCTTTATAAGCTAATAAAATTTTTATAAGATAATAAGTGATGGTACCTGCATCTAGTGGGCGAGGGGTAAATTTTGAAAATGTTCACCCACTGCGCACCAGAATTGGAGGTGAGTAGAGAAAATATAAAAGTGAATCAGATGATGAATGTAGCCATTCCCGACCCAATTTTATATATCCCTACCAAAAACTCTTCTTAATCAATTGGTCCAAATTTTAACACCCCAACCACCTTAAACCCTGGCCCAAGCCCCATCGCATAAAATGAAATGAATTAGGGGATAATAAGCCACTTTCTAACATTGAAGCTCAGATTTGTGTATCTTGTATGATGAAATAATGGACTTTTAGCCCATTTGTATTGGGCACCTTTTTGCTGGGCTGATAGTTTAAGGAGCATGAGTCAGCCCATTCACAAATTGAGTAAATTAAATTTGAGAAATTAGTAATAAAGTTGGGTCAAAGCTATTTGTTAAAAGGGTGACACCTTAGCCTGTAAAAAATTATGCAAGGCCCAAAATTTCAGATATGGGTAGATGTATCAAATAGACAAATTAACTCAAAGTTAATTAGGCCTGACCCTGACCCTAACCCTGACCTGACCTGTTTGGACTGACCCACCCCGCTAACTACCGCAAATTATGCCATGGAATCGTGTTCACCGAGAATGGTGAACACAAGGCAAAACGACGTCGTTTTTAGGTAAAAAAAAAAAAAAAAAAAAAATCGCGGATGTGGAGTTAACGGCGCGCGTTTGATCAAATTATGAATTTTCTGTTATGAGATTATGAATTTTATGAAAATTCATAATCTCATAACAGAAAATTCATAATCGCATAACAGAAAATTCATAATCTTACAACAGAAAATTCATAATCTCATAACAGAAAATTCATAATCTTATAACAGAAAATTCATAATCTCATGGTTCCAAAGTGAATGTGTAGGCATGGTTCCAAAGTGAATGTGCAGGCATGGATTTATAATTTATGAATGTCCGTGATTTCGGACGGGAATGTGTAGGCATGGTTCCAAAGTGAATGTGCAGGCATGAATTCATAATTTATGAATGTCCGAAATTATGAATGTAATGAAAATTCATAATCTCATAACAGAAAATTCATAATCGCATAACAGAAAATTCATAATCTCATAACTGAAAATTCATAATCTCATAACAGAAAATTCATAATCTTATAACAGAAAATTCATAATCTCATGGTTCCAAAGTGAATGTGTAGGCATGGTTCCAAAGTGAATGTGCAGGCATGGATTCATAATTTATGAATGTCCGTGATTTCGGACGGGAATGTGTAGGCATGGTTCCAAAGTGAATGTGCAGGCATGAATTCATAATTTATGAATGTCCGAAATCTTTGTTCACCTCAAATTAAAGTGAAACCGCAAAATGTGAAAATAAAGAAGAAAAGTCACGCAATTAATTAAGAAAAAAAAAAAGAAGAGAGATAACGGTGTACTAACACCGTTGGAACCGTGTTCACCATAAATGGTGAACACGGTTCCATGGCATAACGTCCCATATACGGCAAATTATTGTTTGGATTGTGGTCCCACAACTATTTATACCTCAGTTCAAAACATCGTCGTAAATATTATGAGTAAAAGTAATATACATTATGTGTTAGAATAATGTACATTACGTATTAGGTAATATACATTATGTGTTAAAATAATGTATATTACGTTAGAATAATGAAACAAAACGACATAGTTAAAATTAAAATTAAACAAAACGACATAGTTTTTAGGCCGTGGGCGTGGTCCACACAGCTGTGTGGACCATAGTCCATGCAACAACTATTGGCTAACTACAATACTCAAACTAGGGTTAACTTGGAAAAATTGTTGTGTAAAAATGTTCCACATAGCTGTGTGTCCAAATTAATATATTGAATGTACATTATTTGATAATTTGATAATATATAAAAAGTCATGTACTTTCAAATAATGTACCTTTTTATTCTTCCAAAAGGTTAAACTCCAACCCCCCCCCCACACACACCCCGGCCCGATAGAGCATTTGGGAGGATGTAAATCATGGTGACTCAACTGAATATGAACCACAGAGGCTAGACCGGTGCTCACTGCGCACAAGGAACCCCCTCACTTTGAGAGGTTGCTCTCACACTGCCGCTGGTGAGACTCGATCCCTCCTTGGTAATCCTTTCAAAATTTCACCTCTATGACCAGTTAAGCTACCCATGCGGACACCTTTTTATTATTATTATAAGAAGGGGGAAACCCACATAGAAGACAATCAATACAATTACAAGATAGACATATTACACCATATTGGGAAGCCCAACACATCATCATCTAAAATGCCCAGGAGTTCTTCTGGCGGACTACTCAGAATATGGGACCTCAAGGAAAGCGATAGAAGATACTATCAAGAAAATCATCTGCTTAAAACTGCTCTCCATATCTATGTAGCTGCAGGGCAGGTTCTAAGAGCATCCTCATCAGAGGATAATATGGAGATAATAGAACATAAATATGCAGCTTAACAGATGGGAGAAGAAGAGAATGGAGAAAATAATCCTCCTGCAAATGAGGGGAGAATGGCAGAAAAAAAAAAAAAAAAAAAAAAAAAAAAAAACACCGCAGTTCCGCGCGTATCGCGGAACTGAGGAGAAAGGCCAAGCGCGTGCACTGCACGTGCCCGGAGGCGCGTCAGGCGCGCCAGTGGAGAAAGGCCAAGCGCGTGCACTGCACGTGCCCGGAGGCGCGTCAGGCGCGCCGACTGGCGCGCCTGACGCGACTGAATTCTTTAATTTTTTTTTTGTTTTAAAAATCAATTTTGGTTTTTTTTTTTTTCTCCCCTTCTCACATTCTCTCTCCCAATCACTCTTACATTATCCCCAAATCTTCCCAACTAATGTGGATGCTCTAATAACATGTTCCAGATCCTCCACCATGTCAGGGCAACACCAACACTTGTCACATTGGTTAAGCCCCGCTTAAATCTATTTTGGTTTGTCATGATTCTGTCTTGATTCAAATAATGTACCTTATGTATATAAATAATGCACTTTTAATATATTAAAAATTTATACTTTTTATTTATGTTTCACATAAATGTGTAGACAATCCTCCATGGAATAATAATTGGGTTAACTCAAATGCCGGCTTAGCTTGACGGTCTATGACTAGATATAATCAATCTAGTCCTTAAGTTATATAAATATATCCAATTTAGTAGTTATTAGGTTCACTCACTTTTAGTCATTAAATTTCTTCCTAAGTGTCGACTTTCACTCAAAATATTTAAAAGGAAATGAGATTGAAATTCCATAAAAAAATAATTTACTATGAAGATGAGTTCCATTGTTTGATTAATGGAAAAGAAATTATTGGAAATATGAATTTTATTGTTTGGTAAAGAATATGAATATAAAAAAAAGAATATGTCCCTAACAATAATAATGATAATAAATTATACATATGTAATTAAGAAAATTTCATGAGGGTATTAATAGTTTAATCATGTTATATTTTTTTCTCAAATCTTGTGGAAAACAAAATACCACCCTTGTGCAAAGAATTTGTTTTCCTTCACTTTTAGGAATTTCTTTTCCAAAGGAAATTGAATTCCATGAACCAAACAACATAAATCAACGTTTTCCACCACTTTTAGGAAAACTTTTTTCATGGAAAATATTTTCCATCCAACCAAACACCCCCTCATATGTTTTTATTGAGAATGTGAAATTATAAAGTGGATTTTTAAGTACCAAGACTATGTGGTCTAATAGTATCAGGGTTGTACTTCTATTTGGAAGGTTGTGTGTTTGAGCCTACAATGTAATAGAGCCAGTAACATCGGTCTTCCTTAATATTCAAATAATTTAATAGAGTCAGTAACATTTTTTTTTTTTTAAAAAAAAAGTAGATTTCCAAGTATATCGGTCTTCCTTAATATTCAAATAACGTTAAATAAGCCCTTCAATAATATGCTAAAATGTAATTAGCCCACTAAATTAATAAAAATTTCAAGTAGATACTTTAACTTCTTATTTTTATGAAATTAAGTTAATTAATGATTACCTCGAGGTAACCGATAAAAAATTTAATTAAAATTTTAAAAACATAGTTTTAATAAAGTAATTAAATTAAAATTAAAAAAATAATAATAAACCTCCGACTACGGCTTCCCTGTCCAACTGGATGGAGAAACCAACATTCGCTTCTTCATCTAGTTGGACGGAGGCCTGCTTGGTTTCTCCGTCCGTTCAACTGGATAGATAAGCGAAAATTTGCGTTTTTAAAATTTTAATTTAATTTTTTTTAATAAAAATCTCAACTT